GGAGGCTGGAGGATGCTGAGTAAGAAGGGCTTATAAACTTCGAGCTTTGGAATTTGGGGTTAATCTGTGAACCTGATCTGGACTGGGGATGTAAATCTAGACCGTGGCTGAGTTTTGAGTCTAACTGGATCTTTTTCACTTCTTTTACTCTGATCTTCATGTCCCATGTGAGTGCCTGGTACACAGCAGAGGAGTGAGGTGGGTTTGCTCCAGTGAGCTTATGCACAGCTTTCCATGCAGCTGTTTGTATCTCCACAGCTTTTCAACAGCAAGGGTTTTGAAAAGAGAGCTGGGCTGAGATACTCAAGAAGCACGGCAGACTAACCACAGTTACACAGTTTTTGGGTTAGAGCCGGTTCTCATCCGGCCAGATCAGAGAATGGGGCAGAGCAAGTGATATCTGTTTGCAGAAAGCCATGCAGAAGTAGCGTAACTACCCTGTGTCTGGAGAGGTGTGCACTGACCAAAAACTGGCACTTCTGAGATACCATGCATGCAAGTGGTCTTCCATGCTGCACACTCCTTTTTGCACCTTTTTCTTTCTGCAAGAAGGCAGCAGTGAATATTAGCCCTTCAGTCATGCTGTACTCTTTGCAGTTCAGACCTATAAGATTTATCCACACAAACATCACACCTGAGCTAGACAGAGTTAAATTAAGGCCATTGCTGTGTTAAAGCTAGGCTTTGAACAGGGAGATTGGATTTTCAAAGAGGTGGTATTTCAGGCTGCTGTTGTCCAGCCCAGGCTGGACGGTGTCAGACTGGAAAAACTGTCACGCCCCTGGCAGGACCACAGCCAAATCACCCAGGCAAATTACTGTAACTCTTTGTGCCCCTGTAAAACAGATACAGGTGATACATCCCCAGTGAAGCTTTTAGAGAGCAAGAGCTACACATAAAATATGCTGAAGGGGAGCAAAACATTATTTCCCTTCCTTGAATTATACTTTTGAAAGGCTTTAAATTTTGAACAAGATAGGTTTGGTGCTCAGTTAGCCCCTGCACAGCTTTGGTGGTTCTGAGGTCTGCAGTCTTCTCTAGATGAGATTTTAGACTGTGCAACCAAGCCATTGTGTTTTGTGTAGAGGAAGGTAATTTTTGCAAAATTTTGAGTGCTGCATAGGTTGCATGCTGCGCTGTAATGAGTGGAGTTGTTCATCAGTGTCCATGTACCCAGATTTCTACACTGGAAATGTAACAGGGAAGATTCTTAAGGGTTTATGGTGTATCTAATCTACAGTAATAAACTAACTCAGGGCATTTATAAGCTGTATACTGGCTCCTGATTTCTCGTGGCTCTTGGAATGCAGAAAGCTATAGGTGCCAGCAGAGGGCTCTTAGCCTTCCCTGCTTCGTAGGGGAACACTGCTGACTTTGTCCAGCGCCGCAGCCCTGCCAGCCCGGACTGCACCGTGTGTCTCCAGCTGAGCACTGCATCCAAGCGGGACCCAGACGTAAGTGGCTCTGCCAGCTATTCCAGTCTCGACATTTGGTATTATGATACAACTACCTGACCTCTGAAGAATTCCACTAAAGCAATTTGAACCCAGCATGAAACCTTCTCCCTCCACTAACAAAGAGCTTGTAGTCTTCCCTGTGATGTCTGTTGTGAAAGGTTGTATGGGATATCTGCTGACAGCTCCTCTGGGCCTAAACACTATCAGTCAAAATGCAATAGAGCTGCCTAAGAGCTGCACTAGTTAGGCTTTGTAAGTGCAGTGATAAAATTTAGAGACAGAAATTATAAGGCTGTGAGTTTGAAATCAAAGTACATCCTGTCATCCTTTGAGCTTAGATACTTCCCATTTAAATGGAACCTAAACAACTGCAAAAATGGAAGATTCAGTAGATCCTCAAATACCTGCTTTTCCCGAGCAAGTTTTGTTTTTTGTCCACCTACTCCTTGGACCTCTGATCCAGTATGGGATAGAAAAGACACAAGGAATTATTATTTTCACAATGATTTTCTACTGTGCCTTCTGTGCAACTTCCAAGCCAATTTCCACCACCCATTCATATCATCTTGCTTGTCATTGAGCCCTGTTGCCATCCAGAAATCAGGAAGCTGGATTATCATTGCCACCATCATCCCTAGCATTTATACTTATTGTGTGGGCTTTGAGAATAACAGTCTTGTTGCAAGGCAAGTTCTTTGGTCCTTACAGAACGTAAAGGAATTTCATGTACTCACTGGTCACAAAGGCAGCATATATTCCAAAAGAATCAGATGTTGGATTTCTTGACATCAGTAGGGAAGAAGATTATAGAGAGGTTAGGCTCTATCTGATGGCTTGTACCATTACATTTAATGTGGGTCTTTCTTCTGCCTCTGGTTTAATGCCTTCCCATCCTCACAGATACTTTTGGCTACAGGATTCTATAAGCTTTTAGCACTTACTTTAATCTCCATGTAAAGGAGATTTCCCTCTAGCTTTAAAATCCACTTCAAGGGGTTGTCCTGAAATATAAATAATTTTTCATGGCTAAGAAATTTTATATAAAGATGCCTGATGAGGGAAATCCAAAAGCAGCTGCTCTGTTGCTTCAAGAAGGAAAAGAGGCTCATGTGAGTAGAAACAGATGTGGCAATGGAGAGAGGAAGAAATGCAAAGCACAGGGGTTTTATTTTAGTCCAGAAATTGGCAAATTCTGTAAAGGGGTGATTGAACAGTTTACAGAAACAGAAGCAAAACAAATCAGCCTTCAAATCAGAGGATAGGAGTTCTGGGAAGTGTAGGCCTATAGGTATGAAAAATACTTGTCTGAATAGGCTTTGGGTAGGCAGGGTTCCTTCCCTGTCTGGATCAAAATCAATTGACAGGCTGGGCACTGCTTTCATGCATCTGTTTTCAGGTGTTATTTTCAGCAGGGTCTGTGTTTTAGTCATTCTTGATTTACCAGTTTACTTTTCTGGTAGGATTAAGACATTGGAGCAAATGACTCGTTGCTTGGCAGGCTCTGACTTGCTACAGACTATGTTGATAATGAAAAAAACTAAGGATTTTTGAGAGAAATTTAGGAGCTCAAGGTGGGGCTAAAACAAAACACAAGATGATAGACTGTTTCTGAGCCCAGTCTGGAGTAGGGCTGGTGGGAGGCAAAGGATCAAATGTGTGTTTCTTAATTGTCTCCCATATATCTAGAGATCTGTCTACAAGTGTGCTGTTTCTTTAGTCACGTGTAAAGAAATTTAACTGTTGTCAGTGTTTTCCTGATGTGTGTCAGTGTCTCCTTAACTCATAATATTTTTTCTTTATACTCTTTCTGCTTATTCTTTTTCTGTGACTTAAGTCTGAAAACCACATTCAGTCATAGATATCTTCCTCTTTGCTGCCCAGAGAACTTTGACTAGGGCACATGCCATTCACTTCCTAACTCCATTATCCTGTGTTTACCTCAGTTTACAAATTAAAGATGCCATGGACTGTGATAACACTTCCAGCTACAGATAGCTAGAGCTACAGAACTAAATACGGCATGGAGATGACATATTTAAGTTAGGCTTTAGTAACTCAATAATGTCTGCAAAATCAGCAAATTTTGTTCTTTGCTCTGCTTAAGGAACTATTAATAAATGATAGTCCTCTGAGCAAACCCAGTTTGCCATCCTAAAAATTGCCTGTGTATTTCTTTACTTACCTCTGCTTTTCAACTGCTCTTTAATAAATGATAGTGATTATCTCTGTGTAACTTCGATTTCTGTATAATATTGCTGAGAATTTTATAAAGGCCTTTTAAAACCTGATGAACCTAAAAGTTAATTTTATGTATTATTTTACTGTTATAACCTCACAGTTCTCAGATTAAGCAGCTGTTGGACCATGATAGTCTTTTTCCAGCTTTCTTTTTTCACCTCTGCCCTCTTTGCACCACTATCACTCATTACATTCCTGATACTATTAAAATTACAAATTTATTAGAACAAATTATTCTGTTCTTTCTGTTATCTCTGTGTAGAGCTTAGAGTAACTTTGGTTACCTAACTTAATAATAAATGGGACTGAAAACCTCTTTTCTGAGTTTGGCTTCTGAGTTTGTCTTTCCTATTTATTATGTGAAAGGGCTACATTATGACCATGTTGTACCACTGTGAAGAGCATCCCACAAGTTCCACCAAGTATGTAAAAGAACGACATTATAATGTAGCTACCAAGTAAATACAAGCCAGAAAAACTTCACTTTTTCATTCTCTGACTCAAGTCTTTCTTTCAGGAATACAATATCCTAAAGACACTGCTCCCATTTTTCCAAATTAATTTTGATCGGTCTGTTAAGTGCTGTAAGAGAGCTGAAACAACACTGGCAACCTTGTGTCCTTGCGCTGAGGAACGGTTATGCAATTCAGGTAACATGATGTTAATTAAATGAACTGTAGATCATAAGTGATCTCCAGGCAGGCATCTGCCAGTGGCGTGTTGCTAAAGTAATGGGAAAACAAGGGCTGACTCATTAACTGCGAGTTCCCCGTGAGGATGGACACAAACATCACTTTTGGCTCATTTGCTTCAGTTGCGTTGAGATGTTTTAATTTTCACTTCACTGGATGTTTTCACTCTCTAGTGTGCCATGGCACCAAAAAAACAACCAGAAGCCAACCCAATCGAAACACAAACCGGTTCCTCCCCCAGGACTCCACCCTGGCACCTCTGGCGGTGTCGGGCACAGCCTCCCCCAGGGCACAGTTCTGGTCAGCCCGTTCATCGCTGCCGGCTGCAGCCTCTCGTGCCCCGGGGCCTTGTAACGCCAGGCCGGCGGCTCGGCGGGGCTGGGCAGTGCCGAAGGGCCTGTCCGTGCCCTCCCGGGCGGCCGGGCCCTTCCAGGCCCCGCGGCAGGGCGGGGCGGGGCGGGGCGGGGCGGCGGGCGGGGAGGGCCGGGCCGGGCCGGGCCGGGCGGGGGCGTCAGCGCCTCCCAGTGCGGCGGCCGCCAGAGAGCCCGGCGGTGGTGGCCGGGGCAGGTAGTGCCGGCGGGGACCCGAGCCGAGCGCGGCCTGCGGTGCCAGCATGGTGTTGCAGGAGCCGGCCGGGGCGCCGAGTCAGTCGGCTGTGGCGGGGAGCCGCTGCTGCTGCCCCCGCCGAGGTGCAGCTGTCCCGGCGTCGCTGGGCAGTGCTGCTGCTCTTCAGCAGCTACTCCCTGTGCAACGCCTTCCAGTGGATCCAGTACGGCAGCATCAACAACGTCTTCGTGCGCTTCTACGACGTGAGCGCCTTCGCCATCGACTGGCTCTCCATGAGCTACATGCTCGCCTACATCCCCCTGCTCTTCCCTGTCGCTTGGCTGCTGGACAAGAGGGGTCTGCGCCTCATCGCGCTGGCTGGCTCAGCCCTCAATGCCGTGGGCGCCTGGGTGAAGCTGGGCAGCATGAAGCCGCACCTCTTCCCCGTCACCGTCCTGGGGCAGGTCATCTGTGCCCTGGCCCAGGTCTTCATCCTGGGCATGCCCTCGCGCATCGCCTCTGTCTGGTTTGGCTCCCACGAAGTCTCCACCGCCTGCTCCATCGCGGTCTTCGGGAACCAGGTAATGAGCATCTGCTCCCCGGCTGGCCAGGCATTGTGGGGCCGGCTGTCAGCCACCTGTTGGGAGACTGGGAGTGCTAAGGGGGAGAACCAGGGGGCGCGAAGAGATGCACAGGGCCAGGAGGGCAGCAGCAGAGATAAGAGGCACTTACAGGAAATTCCCGCCGGGAAATGCAGCTGATACCTGGAAGGATGCCACTGTGGGCTTGATGGTGACGACAGAGGCAAGTGGGACCTAAGTCTACAAAGTTCAGGGCAGCGTGGGGGTTGGATATTATTCTGGATTTGAGAGGTGTTTGACTCGGGGTCTTCTCCAGTGCCCTCCTCTTTCCGTGTCTATGAATCTCCAGTCCAGGGTTGTGATTTAGTAAAAGCATGGATGGGATGGAGGGAAATGCACAGTGCTGAGAAACATGCTTTAAGGCAGTGTCCTTCAAGCCTCGGATCTGCAGTTGCCTCTGGACTTGACACTGCAATATCCTCTTCCTGCTGACAGCTGGATGGGACAAAGGAGATTATCTGTCTGCTGAAAACAGTACTTGTCACTGAGCCCTGGAGGAAAAGGACTTTAGCACTTTCATACCTCTTAAAAGTAGATACAGAGTTTCCACTGCTTTTTCAAAGCAGTTGCATTTTACATAGCTTTGAAAGGATCAGGAGAACAGCTTCTTGACCCTTGCACTGGAACACCCGCTCATACCAGTTGAATAAAGCAGATAGGCCAATACTGATGCAATGGGGCATAAGTGGATGAATGTGGCTCTGCAGCCCTGACAGGAAGAAGAGGGAAGCAGAACCTGGCATTAGCTGATAGCCTGGACCTGTTCCCCTTGCTTTGACACCCAGTGTACTCCCCTACATGTGACTGTGCACCACTCTGGACCATTCAGCCTGTGAGTGGCTGCCGTTCAGATTTGAATGGTTTGCAATTCTGGTAGCTTCTAATGCAGGCTTCTTCCTGCGTTTCTGTATTTATTGAAGTACTGCTGAGGCAAAAAGAGGTGAATGCTTGGAGATGGTATTTGAAGAACTGAAATTTGCAGAACAGCACTAGGGAATTAAGGAGACTGTTACATTTTGAAAGGAGGAAACATATTTATCTTTCTCTGAGAGCATCTAAGTTTTCCTTTTTGCCCTTATCAGTCATTCTAGTGGGCTGGGTTTTATGTGTTTTTAAATGAATCTTTAGAGTGGAAGGTATCTAACTTGGCATTAGCAAATAAGTAACTCAGAGTTTTGCTGTCAGACTTTTAAAAATTATTCAGATGGAGTTACTCAACAGTGCGCATAAGAAATCTAAACAATGAAGCTGTCAGCCTGTACTATATGCCTGTGTGGAATCCTCACCATCCTAAAAGAAGCAGCTTAGTATAACGGTTGTGAAAAGCAAACTTTGGCTACACTTTTGGTGCTTCACACTGCTCTGGCAGTTGAACTGACATGACCATGAGACTTCAGTTCAGGACATAGTCTTTTCTTTGTAAGCTCAGACTTTCTTCATACAGAATTAGAGAAGTCAGAAATAGCAGTGGTTAAAGGCAGAGCACACTCCATAGGAAAGACCTATTAATTCCCGTAGTCAAGGGTCCTGTGGTGCAGAATCAGGGTGAATGAAAAGTATCTATTTTGTTTACTGGTGATGTTGGGCAGGGGTTAGAAATAGAGGCATCCAGTTTTCCTGACTGCAGTTAAAGACTGTGTGTTAGGGAGTGTTGGCAAAGGGTATAATAGAGTGGTTTTGTAATTGCAGTATGTTAGTATGGCAAGTATGCTCATTCCTCTACAACTATATGGTTTTCCTTCCCTTGCCATGTCACTTATTTTAATTATTATTATTGTTACTGAATACCAAGCATTGTTGTTCCTCTCCATCAAGAATTGCAAGTGACTACATGAAGAAGTGGGGCAGTGTCACTGCTTATTTATTTGCTATACCTGCCCTCTTCCTGCTTCTGCCCTCTTGGCCTTAGGCTGCACTTCAGCAGTGCTGTCCTGACAGCAGCACTGTGCTGAGGAGAGCCCTGCCTGCTGGCTCGTCTGGGTCTGCCAAGGCCACATCTCCTCAGGATACTGCTTGCTGAGTGATGGTAATCTTTAGGTTCAAAGTTGGCCCTGAACAGTAAATCATTGAATCAATCAGATCAGGTGTTAAATATCTTCTAAAAAGTCAAACAATCCCTAGTAGGGTATTAGAATCACCTCACTTGTTTCTGGCCCTGTGTTGGCTGTGGTATCTGAAGTGTAAAAAAAGGTTACATTAAGCACGCTTGAATACATGCTGGAGAGCTTCTAGAACCCTTTTGGAGGAGGTGATCACATTCACTTGTTTACTCACTGCTGATTTTCTTGGTATTTTTCTTTTCTACGTTCTAACAAGAAGATACATAGGTGTTTTTCTATTATTTTTCCTTGTTCCTGGAAGTTCATGTAAGGGTAAGTATAGAATGGAGTTTGCATGTTGGATGCTTTGGCATTAATATATTAGTATTATTAAAATATTACTGGCTTTTCATTGCCTGCAAGACTAGGAAAAATCTATATGGGGACTCCTGCTCAGGCTTAATTTCTGGGGTAAATAAGCAGAAGAGTTACAGAGGGTTCACTAATGTCCTTCAGATTTGTTTGAATATTGGGAGGAATTTGTCTGACATGCTTCTGAAATACATCTGTCAGTAGTAGTGTGCCTGCTACGTCAGCAGTGTTACTGTGGAAGAGCTCGGTGCTGGATGTCTACATGAAGCCCCCCACACAAGAGGTGGGTAGGGGAGAGCTGTTTGCGTAAGGCCATGCTGCTTCCATTTGGGTGTATTGATTCATCAGCTGGTTCCAGTTCCTGCTTCAGACCAGCCTGAGAGGTCTGAACAGACTTCTAACATCTACATTGGAGAGAGACTGTGCCTCATTCTCTCTGGTGACAGGACCACAGTGGGAAGAAACGCTTTCCTGAGATAATAGCATTTGGTTGTATGTGCTTGTTGGAGCAGCAGGTCTTGCTCCTTCCTTTAGCACATTTGCTCTTCTGTCTTTTGGCGATGAGGACACGCATGGTGCTGTGGCATGACAGAACTAACACGGCGGTGGGGATGGTTAGATAATGAGTTAAATTCTCATGGCTTTTTGAAATTTCTAAGCTGGAGTCTGGTGGCCAGGTACCAGCTCTCTTCTTCAGTTACCATGGTGCCTGCTGGACTGCTGGACCTGGATTTTAGGCACATCTCTCTCTTACTAGTTTATCTCCATGTTGTCACCTGATAGGCAAGGGACATGGGCATCATGCAGAGAAGTGTATAACTGTGCTGCACACAGACAAAGAAAGAACATGTGTGGGTTTGACTTTGTATTGCTTTACCACCGGTATTGGGGGATTTTTTGATTGAGAGAGATCTTGTTCCTGGTTCTTGCTGTTTTGACAAAGAGAAACAAGCAGCTGGTAGGAATAAAGATGTGGGGACGTTAAATGATATTTTTTTCAGTGATTTTGCCCTAGTTTTGGGGTTTTTTTAGCATGGGTTGATAGAAGGTGGAGATGTGGTTTGGGAGGAAAGAAAACTTCAGCCTCATAAGCTCTGCCTCTGGGGAAAAATGACATAGCACCTTATTGATCCTCAGGTCTGTCCCTGTTCTGATGCAACTGCTGTGTGACTTCAGAGATTTAGGGCTTCCAGTAACAGAAACTACCTGAGGAAGAGCTTTTAGGTGATATCTACAGCCTATTGGGAATGCCAGTCTAGCACTGATTAGGTGGTGGCTTTTGAAGTAGACAAACTGGATGATAAGCTGTGAATGAAATTCAGGGAGATACTCTCTTTTTCACTTCTGGTGGATCCTTTCCTTTTATTCTGAACTGGGGGAAAGAGTCTGCCTGGGGTCATGGGTGGGGTGGGTTTTCCTGTGTAATTGGTCTGCAACATGTGAATAGCCATTGGTTTTGTGCTGGTGAGCCTGTAGTGCTGTTTTTGCTGAGCATGTGCTTGTCTGATGCCTCCCTGATAACTCTTTTCTGTACCTTTTGTCCTTCAGGGAGGGGAGTATCTGAAAGTCTAAGAAGCATTGTGGAAATGGAGCATGTCCTATGGAATTCCTGCCTTCCAGTCTCAAGTGGACTTCTAGATCTCTTTGGCTGTTCTGTATCTGCTGAAGGCTCCCCATCCCTGCAGATGAGATTTGATCCCTGTTAGAAATACAGGCAGGTGGTGATCTGCCTCACTGCCCTCCATAGCTTGACCCTGTATCTCCCAGAGTTTTAGCTGTTAGAATAGAGAAGATTTTAGCAAGGAACAGAGAGGAGCTTGTAGTGGCAGTAGTTAATGGTTGACATTCTTCAGCCCTGTCTCCTTTCTCCCTCTATAAGGAAGGGCAGGGTGGATCAGAGCACTTGGATCACAAGGAGTGCAACGTGGCCAGCTCTCCAAGATCCTGGATGTGGCTCATTGTGGGAGGGCGTGCTGACCAAATAGCAATGTGGTTTTCTATAAATGGATATGGAAGCCTGAAATGAACTTTTTTCTACCCATTTCATCTGGTGCTCTGTTCCCAGCCATACACCAAAGGCAGCTCCCCCTTCTCCCTCATCAAAGTGTTGGGTTTTGGGTTAAGTTCTTCATGCGAGTTTAAACGAATGTCTGCAGTGTTTCTGCTGGGAGGGCCTGCACTGTGGCACTCTCAGCACCTGCCCTGAGAGATCCCTGGAACTGGCTGTGTTCGGTGACTGTCATAGGTCCTTGACCAAAGTATTGTATTCTCACTGAGGATTACAGCAGCAGCTGAGGTAGTTGTCAGAGCTGAAACCTCTCTCTACTTTGTTCTCTCTCTTATCTGCTGCTGCTTTTTCCCCTGTATTTTGTTTATTTCCCAGCAAACTGGGGGAAGGTGCATTCAAGGCTGACAGGCCCTGAATGACTTGCATAGATCACTGTACAGTATTGCATCATATGAAGCATTATGAGATGATACCACAGAAGCAGAAGTGTGATGCAGAAGGGAGTTTGCTCTACTTACAGA